GCATTTGAATTATATGTTATTGGCAAAGAATACTGAAAATACTGATACCAGAAGTATAAGCAAAAGTTGTCCTTTAAGAAGTACAGCCAGAATGGCCCTTAGAAGTGAGGGTGATGAGACTCTGTCTTATGAATTTTGGACACGTGATGCAGAGAGACTGGTCCCTGCAAAAGGACATCGTGTTTACTAAAATAGAGGGCCAGGGAAAGAGAGGAAGACACCCAAGGAGACGGACTGACACAGTGGCTGCAACACACCAGCAATGGTGAGGATGGTGCAAGGCCCACAGTGTTGGTTCTATGGTCTATCGGGTCACTATGACTCAGGGTTTGCCTGATAGCGGTAGTGGTGACATAGTGGTTACATGTTGGACTGCTAATAGAAAGATCAGTGGTTTGAAACCACCAGCCACTCCCCAGAGAAAGATGAGGCTTTCTACTTCCATAAACAGTTACAGTTTCGGAAACCCACAAAGCAGTTCTACCCTGTCTTGTAGAATCTTATGAGTCAGACTTGACTTCATGGCAGTGAATTTGTTTTGTTTGTTTGCTTGCTTGCTTAACATCTACAAGACAACAATGCAATTAAGAAATTCATAAGGAACTCAGAAGATGACATCCTACCCTAGTCTTCATATGGGTTTAAATCACCATTAAAATAAAATTTATTTTTTAAAGGAATTGTAGGCTTTCTTTCAATGGTAGAGAGGGGCTCTCCTCAAAGTATGGCTAATATTTTGCAGTGAAATTGCACAAGTCATAATTTGTTTCTTGTTTTACAATATATATGGGGAAACAGAGGTTCAAAGAGGTTATTTATCTTAAGCAATTGGTCCCGTTATCACAGAATTTACTCCATTTTACTGCCTACATGTCAGGGCACGTTCCCAGGTAGAGTCCCCACCTGTGATGTTTGACTGTGGATTTGAGGAACTAAATTTAAAAAGAGAGAAACAATTAGAAATACAAACATACTTGCTTTCCAAATAAATGAATTAACACTTGTAGAGAATAAGATTAAAGAAACAAGTGAGTTGCTGTTGGATCCATGGTATATGATTACTTCCTATGGTACTAACGCCGAGGTATACAATTCATGGGTGTTGATGTAATTGTACAGGAGCTCTGCTAGTCCAGTGATTAACTGCTTCACTGATAGCTGAAGTGACAGTGGTGCCAACACATGAGCTTCCCCGCAGCCTAAGGATGTTGCAGTCTGCTTCCAAAACGAGTTAAACCCTTGGGAACCCTGAGAGTCAGTTCTACTCTACCCTGTGCAATTGCTGTGTCCAAAACCAAGCCAATAGCTGTGGGTTATGTAATTATAGAAGTCCCTGGGTGTTGGAAAGGGATAATGTGCTCACTGCTAACCAGAAGATTGGAGATTACATTGATGATTCTTTAGAAACAATCATGCATTGAAAGCCTCACCGAGCCCAGTTCTTCCCTGATGCATACGGTCTTGATGAATCGCTGTCAACTCCAAGAAAACTCTTGTTTTGTGTTTTTCATTTGCTGTTTTCTGAGGAGCATGGGGTGGAATTATAGTGTTAACATAAAACTTACACCAGTAACCAGTATAAGGCAAAAGAGATCAAAGAAGAGCATACAAAAATGCACACTCATGAGGACATGTCATAATCACTTCCAAAATGAAATCCACTCTGAGCAGTCAGTCCGTTGAAAGAGTGTTTATCTGGGGAAGTGGCCTGCTCTGAATACATACTGGATGTTCTAGCCAACCTCATCAGCTTGTTTGTCTCATTCTGATCCTACGTTGATCTCACCATCATCTCCGCCACTTCTGGGAACTTGAATCAGCAGCCTGTCTTGTTGCTTGTATCTTGATTATTTGTTGATCTTGAATTCCCTGAGTCAGCAGCCTACCATCTGACCTGCCCACCTTGGTTTTAAAGGCCACTGTACCCACATGAGACAGGAAAACCTGTAACTTGACATCTGATCCTTGGACTTAAGACTCACCAGAATCTTCTATTATGATTTGAAAATGGAAGTTGTTTGGCCAGAAAGGACTACACAGGTTTCTGAGGAGCTCAGGAGTCCTCCCAGGGTTTGGGGTGCTGGGGTCACCAGCTTGGTTCTCTCTGAGGTCTGAGTAGACCCACCTGCCACCAGAGGTGCCAGTTCCTGTGGAGCAAATTCATCAGCATGAGCATCAGGACTCCACCCGGACTCTTGGACCTTGCAATCCAGAGCCTGCTGTAGGATGAGGCCTCAGCCATCATGGCTCTGGAGTGCCTGCCCGTAGAACTCTTCCCAGCCCTGTTCAAGGTGGTCATCAACGGGAGACATTTCAAGACAGTGAAAGCAATGGTGGGGGTCTGGCCCTTCATATGTCTCCCCTTGGGGGCTCTGCTGGAGGCTCAGCCACCTCATCTGGACATCTTAAAGGCAGCACTGGATGGACCTGATGTTCCGCTTTCTCAGAAGGTTCACCCCAGGAAATGGAAATCTAAAGTGGCAGATTTGCGGGAGAACACAAATACCAAGTTCTGGGGAAAATGTACAGGATCCTGTGTGCTCAACATGAGAATCAGACTAGGATAAAGAAGCAAATCAGATAAAGAAAAAGGAGCAAAATATGAAAGATTCAAGGTTGGGTGAAAAGCAGCCAACTGGATTTGTGCAGGTGCTCATAGACACGTGCCTGCCTCAAGCCCGCTGGCCCTGATGAATCCCTCACCATCCTTTTTGAGTGGCTCCAGCAGAGAAAGGGGCTACTGTACCTGTGCTGCGGGGAATTGGGGTGTGTGGCCATGCTACCCCAAATGGTCATTGAGAAGATTCTGAAGACAGTGCAGCTGGACTGTGTCCAGGAGGTGACTGAACTCTATGTGGGATCTGTCCACCCTGTCCGGGTTTTCTCCTCACCTGGGCCAGATGGTTCATTTGAGAAAAATCTGATTTTCAAAAGATATCTTACTTCCCTGGCATTGCAGGTCGG